TCCATCATGACCCATTTTAACTCTTATTATTCATAATGTAAGTTTTTGTATTTTTAACATTATAGTCAATAGTTCCTTAGAGTATTTTAGTCTAGGTTTAAACACGATTCCTAGGAAGACCATGTAAAATGATACGATTTCGTGTATAAATAAAGATTGATGATGATGATGATGATGAAAGCCGAACTTCTAATTTTCCATGTCTTGCAGAGTTAATTTTCACGTAGTACGATCAGCATTGCAGCATTCTGCTTGCAGAATTTAATATATCTACATTATTATTTTTCGGAAAACCAGGAAACGCAGAAAATTAGTTAACGCGTGGTCTAACGATCCGCAGTCTACATTCTAATAACATCCTGAGAAAGTTTAAAAATGTTGTCTCTAGCCTGCAATGTTTTCAAATTGTGGCCCCCCCAAAAAAAACACGCAAAGAGTTTTGATATAAAAATTGGTTATAAGTTTCTTAAGAGTTATTATTTCTATTGATCTAAAAATCATTGAAACAAGGTTACCATGCAGAACCAGCTTGTTACTCTTGAATATAAATAAACATTTTGTTCGCAGTCTGGGTGCCACTGGTGCACGTGAAACTTAACCCTTGGACGTACACGCAAATTCAAACCCCCATCGTAGTACAAGGGGGGGATGGAACCCCCACCCCTTAGAATTTTTGTTTTGTTGCAGTATTTCAAAACGATTTTACCTTCAGTGGAAAGCCTTTGATCTTCTCTAAAAGATGAGGTATATTTTATGGGTGGTGGCGCTGCTGGGGGCCTGTGACGTCACCAACCATGGTTGCCATCTTGGCCACCATCTCGGATTTTACCAAGAATTAGAAGTCAGGTTAAAACCGCGGTGATTTTTTTTTGTGCTTGACATGAATCATAGCACACAAATAAGCGCTTTGCATTATTTTATCCACAAGATTTACCTTAATTTATTGTTGAAAAAAGTTTAATAAAAAACATTACTTGTACTATCACTCAAAATGGCTTGACCACCTCCTACTTATGATGTCATATCTCGTAACCCTAGGAACTGACCATGTCTGCATTATTATTTTTGCTGATCAGGTCTTTATAGATCCTACGTTCTTCGGCATATTCGTTTGCGGTCCTTTGCAGTCCCTTGTGGTTCATGTTTGCACTTTATGAATTTTTGGGCCGTAGATCTTTTATAGATCCGATATGCTGTAATTTTTGCATGGTTTTGTCCATGTATTTTAGGTTGGTTTTGGCCAACTCTATATTTTCTCTCACCGCGAGACATCAACTTGACACTTGGACTCTTGCGCCCCAGAAGACACGTGGTATGGCGTGATTCTGTGGGTGTTAGGAAATCTCGGTCAGGGCTAAAATCAGAGTGCGCGGATATTTTTTCATCAGAGCCTGATCTCTGGTTGTTACGCCATACTGACGAGCCCCAAAGAGGATCGACGAAACAGCTGTCTATAGCTAAAATCCCGCTCTGTTTTGAGTTCTTTCGGTGTCGTGTTGATGTCTTGCAGAGTTAATTTTCACGTGGTACGATCAGCATTGCAGCATTCTGCTTGCAGAATTTAATATGTCTATGTTTTTTCAACTTCTTTCAACAATTAAAGTAAACCTTGTGGCTAAAATCACGCAAAGTGCTTATTTACGTGTTATTTTTCATGCAAAACACAAAAAAATTATCAATTTTCGCAGTTTTAACCTGATTTCTAATTCTTGGTAAAATCCAAGATTGCGGCTAAGATGCCGACCATGGTTGGTGACGTCACAGGCCCCCAGGCAGCGTATAAAATATACCTCATCTTGTTAATAAGATCAAATGCTTTCCAATAAAGGTAAAATTGTTTTGAAATACTGCAACATATTCATAATTATTATTCATAATGTAAGTTTTTGTATTTTTAACATTATAGTCAATAGTTCCTTAGTCTTTTAGTCTTAGTATTTTAGTCTAGTTTTAAACACGATTCCTAGGAAGACCATGTAAAATGATACGATTTCGTGTATAAATAAAGATTGATGATGATGATGATCAAAAACTCCGGAAAGGGGTTCTATCCACCCCCGGCACCCC